GTCCTGTACAGGAGGGCACAGCCATTGTGTTTCATAAGTTGACTTTTAAATAAGTTCAAATTACATTTGAGATTTAGCTATGAAAAAGATGCTAATCAGGACATGACGAGGGAGACACTGGAAAGACACTACCATTAGAAGTGTTTGCAGCCAAGTTTGGCATAGCTTGACAGGATTGTAGTCTCAGCACTGAGGAGGTTGAGGCAGGAGGCAAACCTTGAGGCAAACCTAGGCTAGGTCTCAAAACAAAATAAAAACAGACAAAAAAACAAGCAAAAACCCCACCCACCTAATAAACCCAAACTGTGATCACAAAACCCTCTAGCTCTCTAAATTCCCCACCAAGCTGTAGGAAGAGGTATGTGTAGCCGGGATGAACCTTACAGACATTTCTGAGGATGCTTTCATTGTGGCCTGCACCTGGGGGTACTGGGAGGCCTGAGTCCAGTAGTTCTAGGCCAGCCTTGGCAACACAGTGTCTGTAAGAACAGATTGTTGGATGGAGAGATGGTGTAGTGGTTTGGAACACTTGTTGCTCTTCCAGAGAACCCAGATTCATTTCCCAGCACCCACATGCAAGGTCACAACCACCTGTAACTCCAGCTCCACGGGATCTCACACATCTGCCTTCTGAGGGCACTGGACCAAGGTGTACAAACATATGTACATAATTAAAAGTAATAAAATAAATCTATATAAAGTATTTAGATAGAGGAGTCCTGAGGTAGGCCAGGTGGTTCATGAGTAAAGATGATAGACTCAAAGACTGAGTATCTGAGTTCAGTGTCCAGGACCAGCATAGTGGAAGGAAATGGTAGTCTCCACTTTTCCACTGACATTCACATATGTGTCATGGCATGACAACCCCATGCTGGCAGAATAAATAAGTAAAAAGGTAATAAATTAAAGAAAAAGATGAGTCTTGGGGGCAGTAGAGATGGTTCAATGGCTAAGCAACTACTCTTTCTGAAGACCTGGGCTTGATTCCCAATATCCACATGGTGGCTCATGACTATCTGAACTCTAGTCTCAGGGGACCCAACACCCATGTCTGACGTTTGAAGGCATCAGACATGCATGTGCTGCACAGAGATACATGCAAACTAACACTTATACACATAAAAGAAAAACTCTCCATCCGACAATTTGTTCTTACAGACACTGTGTTGCCAAGGCTGGTCTGGAACTACTGGACACCAGGCCCCCCAATACCCCCAGGTACAGGCCATTTTTAAAAAGGTGCATTATTTAGCTGAATATCAAACCCCCATTCAGATTTGCTGGGCTCCTTGCTTTTCCTAGATCACAGAAAGCACCCCTGTACCCCTTTGTTGCATTTTATTTATTTGTTTTATTTTTTTATTCATTGCATTTTAAAACATGATATTCCAGGAATGTCTGGCCAGGGGGAACTCCATATTCTCCTTTGTCAAAGTGATTAGAAAAGGTAACTTCACCCCATTGCTCAGATACAGCAGTAATTAATTATGATAGAACAGCGTATGGTCAGTGCTCTGGAGAACGGGATGGAACAGGGCGTAGAGTGTTTTACTTTATATTCACATACTGTTTGAGTTTCTCCCAGTGAGTGCTTATTTCTTTGAAATTTGAAGAAAGGAAAAATAAATTTAAAACGCAAAGGGTGAGGATAGGTCGGTGGGTGGTTCAAGCTTAGCTGCCAGGGCCTGGGTTTATCTTCAACAGAGGCAACAAAGAGAAACATGAGAAGCGATTGCTGGCTACATTCGTATACTTTTCACTTTATGATATTTTTAAAGTGCTATTTTTCCCTGAGATGAGTTACTGTAAAGATAATAGCAAGTGCTGTCCTGTTGATAAAAGAAGTGATTGATAAACTGTCGTGCAGATGATGGCAGAAGGGAGCATGTAATTGTGTTTCCACCGAATCTCATTTTTCAAAATGCTAGCTAATTTATCATTTGTTCATGAGTTTGGTCTTATGCTATTTACTTGTTTTCACAAATGCCATAATCATTTGAAAAGCAAATCCTCATTTATAATCAAACTGTTGCCTGTTTAACATAATTTTAAAAACCTAAGTATTTCCCCCCCTTTTTTTTTTAATGTGTATTTTTATCTTTTTCTTGTGACCCAGCAGAACCTCTTCTGAGGACTAGATTCAGGAGACATGCATTGTTTTGGTTTTGAGACAGGGTGTCTCTGTGTAGCCCCGGGTGTCCTGGAACTTGCTTTGTAGATCCATCTGCCTCTACCTCCCCAGTGCTAGGATTAAAAGCGTGTGCCACCACCAGGCTGAACCTCAATGGGCATGGTGGAGCATACCTTTAATTCCGGCATTCAAGAGGCAGAAAGAAGCAGGTGGATCCCTGAGTTGGAGGCTAGCCTGGACTACAGAGTGAGTTCCAGGATAGTCAGGCTATATAGAAATATCCTTGCTCAAAAAGCAAAAACAAAACAAAACGATACTAAATTAAATGTGCAACCTCCTACTGGCCAGCTGTCCTAGTTAGCATTAATTGTCAATCAATTGTGAAAAAGTTTAGAATCATGGGGTGGGGGGGGGGTCCGGTAATGAGTATCATTTGAGTAACTATCTTTATCTGGTTATCTGTGGCCAAGCTGCTGAGGCATGTCTTGATTGCCTTAATTGATCTGGGAAGACCCACCTGGGTGGGTAGTGCCATTGTCAGTGAACTGGCCCGGAAGCTAGCCCCAGCCTTCTGCTTCAAGCTTCTGCTCGAGTTCCTGCTATGACCGCTCAGTGATGGACTGTGCCCTGGAAGTGAAGCCAAATAAAACCCACCCTCCAGGTGCTTTTTGTGGATGTTTTACTCAGTAACAGAAAGAAGAAAATTAAGGGTGTAAGAGAGATGGCTCAGCAGTTAGGTGCCACCGACTGCTCTTCCAGAAGACCTGGGTTCAATTTCCAGCACCCACTTGACAAGTAACAACCATATGTAACTCCAGTTGCAGGGAATCCAACACTGCCTTCTGTCCTCTGGTGCACAGGTGTACATGCAGACAAAAATACCCATACACATTAAAAATAAAGAAAAATTGCCAAAGTGAGAAAATTAAAATGCCAACTATATGACCATGACTCCCTCTCCTCAGAATCTTCATTGACATGTGAAGGAGTTGGACCTAGGCCCCAAGTTTATGACTGTTAATAAAGTTTTATTGGCACATAGCCACACACACATACATAAATCTATGGCTATTTTGTCCTCTATCTCTTACAGCAGATAGAATCCAGCTACAAGCTTGAAATACTTGCTGACCTGCCCTTTGGAGGAAAGGTTTGCAAATTCTTCTTTATCAAGTTTCCTTTCCAGCTTAAAATACTTGGTTCTGGATTTAGATATATAAGCCAATATCCTAGTAAATTACTAGGAAAAATTCAACTGGGAGAGGGGGAAACACCATCAATTATACATTATTATTTGCTAGCAACCTGAACCTGACATTTTTTCACTAATGCTGTGGTTAAAACAAGCTTTACATCTCACTATCATATTCAGCTGGAGACATATGCACAGGTTCACCCCGTTGGTGCTGGAATTCTGGCTGAAGGAACAACCTCTAATTGGTTACGAACAATGGACAGAAATCCACCTGCCAATATTCAAGCCCTTGCTCAGGAGCTGGAGGTGTCGGTTTTCACATTTCTTTGGCTAACCTCCCATTAACAGCACTAGACAGTTGCATTCTCCTGTGGGAGACCTGCAAGTCATGGGGACTTTGAGAGGAATCCAGGAAAAACATTGGTGGTCAGAGGAAGTATCCATGTGAAGTCTTTCTCACTTACTTAAAGCTTTGCTAGTTGGAATATACTGACACTGTTGGCAGAAACTTGTTTTAGAATTCTTTGTACAACACTTTTCATGAACTTCCTGCATCTAAGAAATAACTATAAGCTGGCCCAGTGAGCTTTTGGAATATACTAGTTTTTGTAACTTGCTTATTCAAAACTCAAAGTATGGAGTGTGCTTTTAGAAGTTGAAAGTGACACTATGAAGGATTTAGAGCTGCTCCATTCAGAACTACTTGGATATTGGCTTAGACCCTTCAGATGGATTAATGTCTTTTTCCTTGTATGGCACTGACTTGAAAGTCTCTGAAGCAAGAGTGCATTATTTTTCTTGTTTGTGGTCTTTCATGTCAGCCCTCTCTTTCTGAATTAAAAATAGCTTCGCTGAACTCCTAGGGGGACAGGATATTTCTCCTAAAATCCAAACACTTGCCTTTGATGTGTGCCACAGACTTCTAATTTTCTAAAGCCACATATTCTTTATTATCCCAAGCTCATTAGTAGGCAATATTGATTAAAATACTGTCATTTCTCTTTACCTCACCTATTGGTATGGAATTTTTAATGACATCAATCAGTTCTGAAGCCTAACAGCTTCCACGTCACAGATTTCTGTTGTAAGCTAGTCTTTAACAGCTTTATTTTAACAGATGAGCACTGTTTGTTACAGCTCTTCGGAAGGAGTCATGGCCCAACAGCCAAGTCCTCAAGCCAGCTCAGAGGGCGACAGTGAGGACAGTGTGGTGTCCATGTTGGTCGCATCGGTTCTGTCTGATTTTCTTTCAATAGCCAGGATTCGGGAAAACGATTCCTTTTTTAGATTAAATGTTCCTTTACTTCCCCCCTTTTAAGAAGGTGGTGGTCGTGACATCAGGGCAATCTGTTTTGTCATCACTTATGGCTTTCTGTGCTTACAGGGGTTCTTGAATATTTATTTAGAAAATTGTAAGACTTAGTACTGTACTGGCAGTGTGGAGAAGATAGTCCATAAATGAAAGGCTCTTTCTTATTTCTCTGTCCCTGCTCCTCCTGAACTGTAACAAATCTGCTTGGATAACTAAAAGGCCTTTAGCTTGCCCCTATCTATATTAGTTTCCTATTGCTTTTGTAACAATGTACAAATGAGAGGCATCTGTGTCTTCCTGAAGCCGACGGTCGTGCTCTACACCGAGGCATCGGACAAGGGCACTTATCTGGTGCGCTCGTTATGCCTTTCCTTGATGTGCAGAAAAAGCTAGGCATTAGCCTAGATCGTCATTTCACATTCCAGTGTGTTGAACAGCCCTACAAAATTCCCGCTCGGTGCCATGCTTTTGAAAAAGAATGGATAGAATGTTCGCATGGAATTGTTGCTACCCGGGCTAAAAAAGAGTGCAAGATAGAGTATGATGATTTCAAGGAATGTTATCTTCGATTCAAAACGATGAAGCGCCTGAATGAAATCAGACGACAGCGGGATAAGATGATCAAAGAGGGGAAATACACCCCTCCACCTCACTTTGTGGGCGAGGGGGAGCCTAGGCCTTGAGCAGAGCAGCTGGAGGCTGCTTTTCATGCTGTTTTCCCCTGGGAAGACAGTTTCACGAAGCGTCTTCATCAAGTATATAAAATAAAGAATTTAAAGAATAATAATAATAAAAAAAAACAATGTACAAATGAAAGGCTTAAAAACAACATGAAATGAAGAGTGCATAGTTCCTGAGGTCCAAAGCTGATCAGAGGTTGTCTTGACACCACCACCCAGCTGAATCCAGATTTATCCTGTTCACTAATTTTCACTAAATACAGGATTAATGTCTGAGGTATCCTGGCTCCCTGGCCCTGCCTTCCCCTCTTGGGTGTTCTGAGTTAATTACAGACCAATACTGTGTGTAAGGGCACACATAGTGCCCCAAGACTAGATCTCATATGAAGCCATATGAAGGTGGAAGTGAAGTCTTAGGTCATAGAAGACACTGCAGAGAATCTGGGTTGGTTAAAGGTAATGATCTTGCAAGGCCATTAATATTTTCCTGGAAGATTTCAGTGCCTTTTGTTCGTCTGGTTGAATATTTCCTCTCGATTACTGGGGATAGAGAAGGAAATTAAGCTCTGGTTATCTGAGCAACTCTTTCCCTCCCCTTCCTGAACAAAAAGTTGCAGGTGGCTGCTTTCTGTTATGTAAATAAAGCATATTTTGTTAGATTTGACAAATCTTGTGACATGGTCAGTGAAACAGCATCCAGATAGGTGAAGTACCACCACTGAAATAGTAGCAACAGTCACGCTTCCAATCCTATTCCGAACTTTTTCTCTAATGTCCCCACATGTAGGAGGACAACTGTATGGCTTCATGAGGGGAAAACTGGGTCATTATTTGAAGGAGTCTACTTGCTACAAAGAAAGAAAAAGAATCTGGATATCACTAACTATACACTCTCCCCTCCCACTGTTCTTTTTAGGCTTTCTCTGTATTGTTTTTCCAGCCTGCCCTGGCACTCACTCTGTAGGCCAGGCTGGCCTTGAACTCACTCCTCTGACTCCCCAGGGCTGGGAGTAAAGGCATGTGCCACCAACGCCGGGCCACCCTCCCACTTTTATGGAGAAAAATAAAATGTTGACTAAATTTCAGCAATTTTTATTTATTAAAATCCTACCTTAATTAAAATTTCTCAGGACTTCTGAAAATGAAAGGTAGCACATATGAAAACGAGATACTCCAAGAAGTAACAGATTCTGCAAATTAAAATTGATTTTAGATCAGAAGTCCTGTGCTGAGCCTCCCAAAGTTGCGAATAAAGATACCCTTGTTTATATGCTCCTTCACTCGTCAGTGTGATGGCGCTGGCCACATTAGTTGCCTGTAACTGCTTGACATTTTAGTTTTGTGAATACAAATGTCTATTGATTTTCCCCCCCTTCAGTAATGTATTAACAAGTTCCATACCCCACATTTGGGGTTATACTTTCCATTTTGCGTTTTAGCAACTGAAACAAAAAAATGTATGTAATCACTTTGAGTCTTGTTTTGAAATGCAATCACAAGTATTGTTCAGATCTTTAGAGAGCCCCAGATATATCACAGACAAGTCGATATTTAAGTTAAGCAGGAGATAAACTTCCCTGTTCATTTTTAGAAAGTGGCATTAATGGGTTATAACTCAATGTGCCATGCAATTCACTCATTGACTGTTAATTTTTCTCCCCTGGTGCTGGGCGTAGGATCTGGGCTTTGCTTACCACAGTAAGTGTTCTGCCACTGAACCACACCCAAAGACTTAATTTTAAAAACCATTCCCTATGGTGCTTTTAATGCATTTTGTCGGTATTCTCCCTTTTCTAAGCAGTAGACAGAAATAAGTGCATGGAGATGTACAAAAGAAGGATATTTTAGGTTTGGAGGGCAGACACAATAAAGCCACCAGGTGGAAATGGGCTGAAGGATGGACAACCTGCTCTGGGGGGGTCTCCATGCTGGATTTTAATTCAGTGTAAGAAGCAAGCTGTGGCTTTCTCAGATCACCATGGTAAGTGGGCTCCAAAGACAGTGCAGACAGGAAGCAGGAGAGGAAGAAAAACAACAGGTGTCAGGTGGAATCCCGATACTCTTACCTGACCCTTTGGTCTTATTTTTCTCCGTCAGACTTTCTTGTACATAACTTTAGTTTGTTTCTTTTGCATTCAGTGGTGCGGCTCCCTCACCAGGCTGTAAACTCCTGAAGGTTCTGCTGTTTATTTGGAGTCCATTATGTGGTGGGTGCTTGATGCTGTTAGATGCACAGATGCACAGTCTGACTTATTTCAGACTTCCCCAGGAGAGGAATCTGCTATGTTGTCCAGGACCAAGTGTATCTCTTAGGCAAGACACCTGGCTGCTGTGCAGTCAGCTTCCTGTTCCTGCTCCATGCCATGGAATGTTTTTTTCCACGTGGACCCTGTACATGAGTTCCTATGCTGGGGGTGAGGCGCAGTGGCTTCCCATTTTGAGAAAGCAGTACTTTTTTTTTTTTGGTGGTCTTCTTGACCTATGTCCTCAGGGGTAGTCTGTCTTTCCTGTTTCCTTCTTTCCCTCAGCTGTGACATCCAGAACTTCCTTAGCTTCTGTCTGATAAGCATTTAGCTCCCGCTTTTAGTAATCTTTCTTCTCTGCTTGATATGGCCTGGCAGGAGGCGCATCATCCCCTCCTCTCATCCTTTTATTTAATTAGTATCTGGAAACCTAAGGGTAAGAATTAGATCAGATTCTGGGCTGTGTCAGTACACAGAATACTCAAGTTCTCACAGTGTATCTGGGGGGTGACAAAAATCAGTTGGGTGGTTTTCATTCAGATAGCGTAGTTGGGAGACAGTTGTAGATGAAAACAAAAATCCTTACCCTCATAGACCTTCCATTTTGATAAGACAGATACAATAATTAATTATACAGCTACATAAAAAAAAAAAATGTTAGATAAGCTGGGCGTTGGTGGCACACATCTTTAATCCCAGCAGGCAGATCTCTGTGAGTTCAGGGCCAGCCAGTAGTACTACAGAGCTATGTTGAGTTCTGTGGAGGAGGGCTCCATTGTGCTCTGATGCAGATGCTCATTAAAAGGATTTGTTCTGCCCAGGAGAGCCAGCACAGCTTCTTTCAACAAGTGGAGGGTGGCTTGAGATTAGAAATCATGGTAAGAAATAACCAAGCAAGGGAAGCCTGGACAAAGCAACAGTCTGTGCTGAGTGGGGTGTGAAGCAGCTAAGGAAGGCTGGGCAAGGAGAAAAGGTAGAGTGTCCTCTGATTTCGAGGTGCTGTGGTTAGGGACTGTGCTACCAAACCTAACAACAGTATTTTTAATAGTAAACCATATAGGGATTTGAAAAGAGTGAAGCTGCTTATGTGCACTCCTTGTTACAGACTGAGGGATAGAAAAGGATTAGCAGGAAAACAAAGGCTAATCAAGGAGGCAAAAAAATATAGAGTAAGCAAGACATCTATGATGCAGCCAAGGTTCAAAATAGAGCCTTATAGAGTCCCTTTTTTAGCTTGCGTTTCTAGTAGTAATTTAACTCATAGTCACAAATATTTATTCATAGAAAACATCCTTCCCCCCTCATAAGATACATTATTCTGGGATAAAAATAAAAAAAAAAAAAAATACCGCCCCCAGAAGTGGTAGCCTTATTTATTACCTGTTTGCATTCTGACCACTAAAACATGAGAAAATCGAGAACCTTGGAAACAAAATCATGAAGCTAGTATCCAGGGATCTCAGTGACTGTCTTAGGAATTCTCTGCCCAAGGCTTTATTCTCCACACATCCCACCTCTATCTTGTCCTGGTTCAGGGTTAGGGCCAAGGCTCAGGAGGGTCCCAGGAGAGCCAGAGAAAGAAGAACAGTAGTAGGAAACAGGAAGTGATGTAAGTACAGTTACCACCCAAGCCCTGGGCTCTTGAGATAATGGCACTGATCCATTTTTGGTAGTAGGTCACGTTGGCGTAGACTCCAGGAGGAATTTTGCCACATTCCAAACCCCAGCTTACGATACCTATCTGGATCCAGACACCATCAACGTAACATGACAGAGGCCCTCCAGAGTCACCCTAAGGGAGACAGAAAGGCTCAGCAGTGAAAGGCCTGAGGGGTAGGAGGGAGGGGTGTTATCAGTCTGGAGGGAGGAACGGGACCTGAACTCTGAGCTGTGCCTCAGCAAGGGAGCTGGGCTTCCCACTGCTTCGGGGAGAGCTCACGGGAGTTCCAGAATCAGTAAAGTTTGAAATTGTCAGGGATCTTAGAAAAATCCATTAGTTTTTTCTAAATGTTCATTTGATGTGCCTTGAGAAAGCAAATGGAAATTAATACAATACTTCTCATTAAGGTTTTCACTGCAAAGTAAGACTTAAAAGAGTGTAAAATACTACCCTTGTTTTTGTTTTGTGTGTGGGGGGGTTTCTCCATAGGTTCTTTTGTGTTTCAAATGTTGTATTCATTTCTTCTATGGGATGATGACAGCCATTAGTAATTTGTCTCCTGTTTTGTAACAGTTTCAGGATTTAATGCTGATTGCGGCTCACTTTGTATGTCTGGTCTGATGTTTGCCCACACTGTTTTGATTACTGTCACTTTATAGAAAGCTTTGGAATCAGAAGGTTTGAGCCTTTTTCAAGGCTGTTTATGACCATTTGAATTTCCACATTAGTATCAGCTTATTCATTTCTTAGTCTAGCTAATTTTTTTTCCCCAATTTTATCTTAAAACAAACTTTGGCTTTTTTTTTTTTCCTTTTTATTGTCTCTTTCTTCTCTGTTTCAGTAAATAAAATCCTTATTTCTTTGTTTTTTCTGCTTTCCAATCCCCAGAACTGCGCCCTCTTTCCCTCTCCCCCCTCTGTCCCTCTCTTTGGTGACTGTCTTTCTCCTTGTGCCCTTCCTTACCCCTTTCCTCTTCGGTGTTCACATTGAAACCATGCCTTGTATAGGCTGGGAGGTCTCTGCCATTACACTACGTCCTGCCTCCTTTTCCAGTGTCTTAATATAGAGGCTAGGTTCTTCACTTGAGATATTCTTGTTCATACAACTGACATTTACAACTATGAGTTTCTCTAACCACTGCTTAAGCTCCACCCATAAGATGTGTCTCTTCA